TAGGCCACTATTTTTTGTGCCCTACAAATGCACTTTTCTGTACTGTGAAGGGAGAGCTCATCGATGCTCATCAATTTTAGATACCAATGACCATACAGACCTCTTATTCAAATAATTACAGCGCCCCGGTTGCGTAGACTTTTTGTGTTCGGCTCGAAGTAACTAATCACGGGCATATTAAAATACTGGCCATTAAGGACCCTTTGATTGAAAATTATCGAAAAAGGCAAATTCCCATAAACTCTTGTGTGCACTTAAACTTAAAACATTCATGCACGCATTCTCTTCGTGTCCTGAATTTTATGGTATACGAGTTCGCAAACCTGTGTCTCTTAATTTTCGTTCATAAAATATAAAATCAGGGGCAAACATAAGTTCTCGTAAATAAGCTTTCGTTCATAATGAAATGAAAAGTAGTAATTATCTGGTTAGGGCTAAGAATGCAGATTGTACTGGATATTCAGAGTTTCTATTCATTCTTTACCCGAACTGGATAATTTCTAATTTTTTTTATTTCAAAAAGTGGCGGGTGTTTTTTTCTCAAATCTCACATGTTTGCATTAGTGTCGGGGGCTTTGCACGAAAGGTTCAATAAGTGGCGCAAAAGTATCTATTCGATAAGCTACATTTTTACCACAGTCCGTTTTTGGAAAAGTCACATCATAAAAAAAATTTCAATCTCGGAGAGCGATACTCCAGCAAAAGTCATTTTCGGTGAATATAACTATAACACTTTAATCTGGAAGCCTCGAAGATACGTAACTACGACCTCCAATAACTTCTTTCATATAATATGTTGGGCAAGGTAGACAGTGCTTTAACAGAAACTTACAATGAAACCGACATTTACTGTTGGACTTGTACCTGCTGGACAAACTTCGATGAATGGCTTCGAACTCTGGTACAATTGTTAATCAGAAAACGATTTAAAATGTAGCGTTGTTGTCCTATATTGTTGAGTTTAGTCAACTCAGGTTTAGGAATAAACAAAAAAGAATGGCTCAGAAGTTTCTATGTTTTTTTTCTAACTAATACAGAAGTATAGGCTATACTTATGCCGGGGTTGACAAAGTGTGCTGGGGGTTAGATAAACGCTTATCATTGCACCTTCCCTAGACATCGCGGTGCTGTCACGCGAGAAATGAGGAGCAAACCTTCACTACAGGTCGGGTAAGCAGCCATTCCGCGAAGCGACGCAAGCAGCGAAGTCGAACATTGCTTTTTTCAATAACTTGCTGATATATATTCCACAAAACAAACAAGAAAATACTTAAATATGAATGAGAAGAAAATAAGCACGTTGACATATATCGTCCCTTTGCTTATCAAGTATGTCTACAAATGAATGAAAAATTGCCGGCTTTGTCGGGAAATTTCAATTTTAAAATTTCTTAATATAGAAGTAGATGTACGTTCCCCAACCCTTGATCACAGAAAATGCCCTGTACACTTTAGTTATTTCCCGCATAAAACTGGCTTTTAAACCACCCGCCGTTAAAATTTGACCGCATATTTTTTTTTTGGAGTCAAGTCATCAAGCCTACTGCGACAATTGAACTGAAACTTGAAGAAAACAATTTTACTGACTATTCAGTTATTTAAATTAAGTGAAAACAACCATACCGGCATAATAAACGAATTGGAAATTGAATTGAATAAACACTGACAGTTGGCACTCGAAATCACAGAACGAGTGAATTTTTAGAATCAGACATTGCGTACAATATTTCATGCACGACGAAATAAAACTTCTGAGTTCTGAGTTCTGAGATTTGTCTGAGTGAACAGCGAGAGCCGTGACTCTCAAACATTTACGGCAATGGATAAAATTTTTGTACACTTTTGATAAGACAGAGTTTTTGAAATATTTATTTTAACTTCAGTGCGATGTGTGTGTCTGTTTAAAAATGAGGTTCCGCTGTTGCTGAACACACGAACGTGGTTGTTTCTACGAGCATCGTCTTTCTTGTTTATTTACGTTACGTAACAACGACCATTGGGCAATAAGGTAATGGTGATGTAACAATTGATTGCGTGAGTTTGTGAAGTTTTTTGCTGTGTTACCAAATTTATAAATCGAAGGATTTTTAGTAGAAAGCCCCCGCCAAACACATCTCCGTCGCCGCTCAAAATAAAAATAGTAATTATCCAGTTAGGGTTCTGAATGCGCTGGAAGCCCAAATTTTAAAATTATTCTAAACCGGAACTGGACATGGACAATTATATACTAATTTTAAAACTTGGCATGTGTCGAATTATTTAACAATATTTGTGACTTCCGAGGTGTTTCAGTTCAACTGTAGCAATTAAGAATTAGCCCAGAAAAACCTGCGATAGACTAGGTTAAAAGTTGCTTCCATTGCTTTCAAACTACACATAGTTGAATGTTTTGAATCGAAATATTGTTTTTAAACTTGTAAACCAGTTTGTAAGCGCAAACTTGCAAAGGAACTCTGAAAATAAGCATGAAAATTTATTATGGTAAAGAATGTGGTGCCGGGAAAATTAATTCTTGGTTTTTAATATTTTCTGTCAAACCACGATACAAATGACAATTTTATGTTGATTTCATAATATTTTGTAAGTCAATACAAGGCTGCTTTGAAAACACAAGAAAACATTCCTGTGTGCATGAACTAGCATTTTCATAATACTTTTCAGAATTATCTGACATGGTCTTGAATAAAATAAGGGTTTATTGTACTTTTAGATGGGACAGAATATCAAGTAGAGTTTGTCGATAGTTAAATATTCAGAAATGAAAAATAAAATTTTAAGGTTTATGGATAATTGTTGTTACATTAGGTCGGGCAAAACAGAATTGTTTTACTGTCAATAATAAAATCTCATCGGTCCACCGCAAGTATTTCGCAGCACTTATTATAGGGTGACCCGAAAAACGGAACCCAGTCGTTTTGGAACATATTGTATGGGTTCTGGTGGGGCGCCCAGTAGCTCAATAACCTTTCGAACGGATGTTTGCCAACCCCTTAGATAGTAGATATAAAAGAGTTTACTTGTTTCGTAACCATCATTTTTCTTCTAAATGTTCAACAAATGCCGGATATCCTACTTCAGTCCAGTCTATCAGCTTGTTGGCACTGATTTTGATTAAACTAAAACTTTGAACTGATATAGGTATGTAGAAAAACACGGAAACTAGGTAATATAACAACCGTGTATGAAAAATGTCCGAGTGAAAGTTTTTCGATCGTTTACTACAATTTTGATTGATACGTTACTTCTGACATATTGATGATTACGCTACAAGGATATCCAGAGAAGTGTTTCACAACCTTTTTTGTTTGCGGACCCCCTTTTCGTGGCATTTAATTTCAACCAAAATCAACTCTGACATCCTCAAAGCGCAGGGCTTTACTATCGTTTTTCCTATATTATGTGCGAATTTTTTTGGTGATTTGTGACGCCACTTCGTAGAAAGCTTGTGTTCCAATGTGGAGAATATCCAATGGCATTTCATCTTTTCGTTTCAGAGATAGTTCTCGTATTTTAAAGAAATATATATGGGTCATTTTTCTCATGTTGTGAATGTTTCTGCTACAAGTGGCGTTTAAGATTTGATGGCTTTAATACCTCGTTGCGAAGAGTAGCCAGGTAAATTAGCCTTTTGAGAGGTCGATGTCTGTCCACATCGGTTTGTTACTTCAGGAATTGTTATGTCACAATAACAGTATGAATATTGTATTTATACCATGTTTACCACCGAAGTATCGGCAACCGCATCGTATGAGCTTGCAATGTAACCTTCAAATAACAAAAATTTATAATTTCCTTGGACCCTTGAAATTGCTTTGTGGGCTCCTTGGGGAGCCCCGTTGAGAAACACTGATTTAGACTTTAGAGCTGACATGAGCAAACTACGGCCCGCGGGCCGAATCCGACCCGTTGGGTAGGTTAATCTGGCCCGCCTCAAGATGCCCCAACCCCACTGAACCAAATTTTAATGTTTTAGCTGAAAATTTGCCCAAGGAATGTGTCGAGATTGGGATTAAATTTGGTTTTCCAGGGGCTTATTGTTTTCCCTATTTGCATATCTAGGACTGTAAATATTGCTCATAAAATGTGATTTTTTACGTCACACTCACATGGCCCGACAGTCTAGGTGTGCAAAAATTTTGGCCTTTTGTTCAAAAACCTTGCCCACCCCTGCACTAGTCTGTCTGTGAAGTTGTGTATATTATCATTGTCACGTTAGGGTTACACTGTTGCTGTTAAGCTTGAACTTGATTGGTCAAGTAACCCCACATATATTGTTTCAACTTCCGCGCTATTGCCTGATTTGAGTCACTCATCATTTATAGCTTGAACTTGAGGCAATTTATATTTCTCAGTCACACAAACTTTGACCAAGCTTGCTGAATTTGAATAAATGCATCTCGATTCTCGAATCGTATAAATCTGGCTGCAATTCATACATTCCCGGAGAAGAAACAAAAAGGTACTCCATCCTCAAAATGTTGGTTATTGGATAATAAACTGTGGCCATTTCACGTCGGATTATTCCGGCCTGGGTTGCAGATTTGAATCACATGGGGTATAATTATTTGTGAGAGTATTGTAGCAAGGTGATTCACATAACCACTGGTCGGTTACGGCTTCATCCACCAGCAAGGCCATGCATTCGAAACAAACAACTGGCTAACTAATTCCATACCCGACATGGACTGGTAACGGGACCAGAGGCGGTGGTACGGCTTATCCAATAAAAATAATATCTCATCCTAATAAATCTAGCGTGGGGTGCGAATAATTTGAAGAGAATTGGATTGAATGCCAATGGTACCACTGTTGGACTAAGCCCTCTCCGCTACTCATGCTCATATGTCTGCAATTGGTCATCTATATCCATGCAAAGTAACGAGACAAAAGGCTGTGGTCCATTGTATGATTAGGACACTGTACCAACATACTCATACTTTCTACTAATGTTTGAAAAAAAATCCAACAAAACAAGACTATGAGTAACAAAGAAAATGATAAAGTGTGTATATTATTTATTGCATCTTTAAACTCTGTATTGAGTAAAGTTTGCACACAATTGAACAAAACACACAATTGAACAAAACACACGATTAAATTGAAATGTCTCCAACAGTCAAAAATTATGTGTTATTCATTAAATAGTACTTCCTTCCGGAACGTAGTATGTGTACCAGGTTATGATTAGGCCATAATTTCAGGTACAAATACTACGGGAGTCACTTGGCTAGTCCCTGAACTCGGAATATAACTAAAATAAGGAAAATTGGAAAGAAATTTGACCTAACTCTAACCTGGTACACATACTATGTTTCTACACGTGATTAGAGACTGGCAAAATCAGATTTTTCCTAATAAAATAATTTGAACATTTATTTTAAGTTAATAGACACTTACTAAAGACTAAAAAACTCGGTAACAAGGCCGAGTGTTTACTTCCTAATTTTGTCACAATCGCGGATTATTTTTTGTCACTGTGACCGTTTCAGAGGCCAACATCCTAATTATTGTTGCACTATTTTTTAAAGCTTTTTTTCCACAAGTAATAATTCTCACGCAGCGGCGGATATTAAAGTTATTTTTATATTTCAAGCTGAACTATGAGTTCACATGGGCGTAAATCAAAGTGACAATGTATAACAAAAATTAAAATAACTAACAGATAGGTTACATCAGACCTTTTCGTGCCGTTTTGCACGAGTGAATTCATATGCGTAACCTATCTGACAGTTATTTTAATTTTTGTTGTATATTGTGACTCTACTAAGTTTTATCAGGGATACGTGAGCCCAACTAATTTAACTTGCTCGGCGCTGTATGTATACCAATTTGGAAATAACTAATTTTGTTCACTTATTTTACATCAATTTGTGTAACGGGACTGAAACCTATGGACGGGGTATATTCACTTGGCTAACACTCACAGTCCCCGAGCTCGTAATGGAATTGATAAACAAGGAAAATCAGGATAAAAGTATGGCCTAACCCTAACTTGGTACACATACTTCGGGAGTACTCCTTGCTCCATGCTATTGCAGCAGTGGAACCGTAAGTGTATATATAATGCAAAGATGCTATAGCAAGAATAAAGGTAACTATTCATATTTGATTCAAAAGTTTTGCTGCATACTAACACAAATGTATTTCTGCAACGTTGACGGGGATCAGACTATTCGAGACCAACAACAATGACTAGAAAAAGTATGCAACAAGACTCTTGACTGGAATCAAATAAAAATTTAAAAGCTTACAAAATTATGGGTTAATTTATTTGGAAGTTGGAATTTAGGTGCGGCGGTGTGGCTCATATACTAAGCGCCAGGAATATGCCATTTGGTTAAGCCATCTTATCATCAATTCTATCCCCCGGGATAAATATGTAAACCCTATCCTACAATACTTACCAGCCATCATTGCTACCAGACTTGATTTATAAACATTTGTCATAGTTCCTAAATCTCCTGTTTCGAGTATTGTTTTCATAGGAATACATTCACCACATGCTTTCTTACATGCCTTCGAAAATGCCTTGAAAAATATTCAGAATCGTAAACAAGTCATAATTTATATTTACACTTTGAAACTTAGTTTTTAGGGATACTGTTTTTAGAGACAAACCAGAATTCAGACAATGAGTGGGTACAAGTTCCGTTTCGAATATAAAAAGGAATTTGCTGATGTCAAACAAAGTCGAAGGGTAAGAGCCATATTATGCTCACTGCTGCTATTGACAGCGATATCAACCTAGAGGCCATGGGAAAAACAGCAATTAGCAATATTAGCGATAAAGTGCGCTTAAATCAGTTGCACGTTTGTTTGAAAGCAGTACTGTTTTTCACGGACCATTTGGCGCTCTACATATTTTTCCTCTCTCAAAAATTATTCGTGCCTTATAAGTATAGTATGGTGCGCCTAATATATAGATCAGGTAGTGCTTTATGTTTATTCCCCACATCCATCCTCAGGGTGTCTTGCGTATTAACATCCTTACAAGCCGCCACTTTTATGTAAAGAACGACTGGAGTACGAATCCCACACAAAGGGACTGCGAAGCCCAAAACAAATTCGAAACTAAACAAATTTGAAAAAATAATTTCATCTTTCTAACCTTTCCAATCTCCATGTAAAGCTTCGGTCCTCGAAATCACAATATCAATTTCAGAAGCTCCCGACTCGACTGCCCTTTGAATTTCGATCAATTTGATTTCCAAAGGAGTCTGTCCTGCAGAAAAGCCAGTTGCAACTAGAAAATAACAAAATAACATTTAATTCGGTCATAATCATTTCATACAGACTGTAAAAAAAGTAATGCAAATCCAGGCTGGGTATTCAGTAAACTGAAAGCACGCATTAGTAATGACTATAGCGATATGCCAACTAAATATAAAACATGTTGTGTGTTAGCATATGGAAAGGGTATTAATGAAATAGCAAATATTAAAATTTGGATGACAGTTTTAATGGTAAATTACAAAGAAAAAGCTGCTTTTTGAACTGTTTTTTTAATCAGAGTTTGAAGCCATATTCACCAAATAGATAAGATTAAAAAATATATCTGTTTTTCTTTCTTTTTTTTAAAACAGTTTTTTTTCTTCAAATTTCACCTTCCCTGCATAATAAAGCTTGGGGAGATGTATAAGTATAAAACTATTAACAGCTTGAAAAGATTGAATAAAGCACAATAAGAATTCTCATGATAACCCCGAAGAAAACTGATAAAATAGATTCCAACTTCGAACCATATTTCCTGAAATAACCAGAAATCCTCTTGATTATAATTTCCCACCAACTGCAAACCCAGGCTGGGTAATCAATTATTCAAGGGCAAGCAATTTCAAATGGCTAGAACAATATGCCAACTATAGAGATTGATTAATTCATGATGTATGAGAGCATATCGTTTAAGTCAGGGGTGTGCAACCTTTAATACAGGAGGGCCAGATAGAAATAACTGGTTGAAACCACGGGCCGCACCTTAACATGCGCTATCTAGTAGTAGGAACGAAAATTTTGGTTATTGATTTTGTGACATGCGTTGTTTGCACAAACTAGATGTTAATAAGACATTTTAAAGTCATAGGCATGGATAATAAATTGGACCCATGTATGGACACAACGTAATGGGATTAGAGTTCTCCATACAAAAAATAAACTTGTTTTGCAATCTGCACATCATTCAAAATTTGCACTTCCCACTCGTGCTGCAAAATTTTTTCTTGAGAGCTGCAGGTTGAACAGCCCTGTTTGCGTAAATAATAGTAATAGGTCGAACTAAAACGCGATCCAGCCTGATGCAACAGGAATATTATTGATTCCAGCAGCTTTGAAACATTGAACTGCTTCTTGCACTCTGGCTGGGTAGACACACACAGCTCCTTCTGCTATACCTACAGATTGCAATTCACTGCATTACTGAACAAAATAAATGGGAGGAATGATGAGATTCATGAGAACTATGAAATAATTTGTATTAAGTCATCCCAAGAAATATAGGTACTGCCGTAGTATATGTACCAAGTTAGGATTAGGCCATAATTTTATTCCAATTTTCTTTTTTTAGTTCTATTACTAGTTCGGGGACCGTCTGTGTTAGCCAAGTGAATACACCGTCTGCCCATCGGCTTCTGTCCCTTTACACAACTTGATGTAAAGTAGGCGAACAAAATTAGTTACCTCCATAGTGGTACACATACTTCTGGAGCGCCGAAATATAATATTTAAATACATTTGAAAATAAACAACAAAACTTGCAGCGCAATAAATTTGATATTTTTTACAATACGAGTTTCCATGAAAAATGCTTCACATTAAAGTTATTTTTCAGTAAATTTATAGCCTACTCCTTAACAGCAAATTGAAATTGTACCGATTGTTCTACACCAGGGGTGGGCAACTTCTCTAGTCGGCGGGCCAGATGTGGGAAAATGAAGTTCTCGGCGGGCCGAATAATAACATGAATAGTATTCAATATCTTAATCACATATTTATTCGCTAATGCAAGATAGAAAATTATAAATCCAGTTCAAAGTAAAGTTTAAACTACAAAAATAGAGACCAAAAAACCCATAATGAATTTATCATAATGTACTAAAAGTGTAATAATGTAATATCATAATGTACTGATGTACAGTCAGCAGGCCGGTCAAAATCTCGCCGTATGTTGCCCACCCCTGTTCTATACCAATTGTTATGAAACGATGGGGGATGCTCTACAAGGGGGAGAGGTAGACTATTTTTAAGGGGGTGTGAAGCTGAATAAACATAAAAATATTGAATATTGACATTTCAAATATTATGTACACATATTTTCAACAAGTTTTTTGAAAAAAAAATATACCATACCTCAGCCTTGCTGTCATTTGTAGCCTATTGTCAGCTATTTTTTGGAGATGGGCGAGGGACTTGGCAAATTCTAAAGAGGGGGCGGGGCGTTCCATAAAAGTTTGAGAATCACTGTTTTAGATTAAATATTTAGAAACAGAAATAATTGCAAAGCAATATCTCACCAGCATCCTTCATGTCGAAAGCTTCAATTAAATCATCTCTGATTGGATGTTGAGCTTTATAGCAAAGTCTTTGTTCGTTTGAATCAATACATGTTGTTGCTCTCAATAACCAAGCCGCCTGTTTGAAAATAATATTTTGTGACTGATATATGATTGTGTTTGAACGAATGTCTAAAACTTTTAGACTTTGTTTCGTGAGATCGTTATTGTAAAATATCAAATTTTGTAAACGCTACCGCCTACCGGTATTGATTTTAAAAGTTAATTACCGGTATGGCTTGAAAAGTTTAAATTACAATTAAACCCACCTGCCATGCTTTTTTCAGTTCTTTTCTTTGGCACAAAGTTTCTGCTCTTCTATTTAGGCCTACAGCGGGAAGATTTACTAGGCTATAGTATAATTCGTTGAACCCAATCTGAATCTGTAATAAGACAAAGTTAGAACGATTTGCCACATACCGTAATACTGCAATATCATAAGAAGAGCACAATATTTGCATGCATACCGGCAATGGTAGAGTGATTGCAGCATTATTTAATTTACGGTACTGATTTAGTAAACTCAGGTAGTCTACTGTATCTTACCGGTATCTAGTCGACAGGTACTGGTAGGGCTGTAGGCCAGACCAAAGCGTATATATAATATAAGCGAGGCAACACTCGGACAATGGACGCCATCTTGTGCCTATTGTTCTCGGCAATTTAACACGGCGCCTTACTAAAAGTTCCAACACAATTATTGGAACATACCTGTTATTTTTACTAATATTTTAGATTTATAGTACATTAAATTGTCTTTGAAGACAAGTATACCGGTTCCGAGTTGCTTCCGAAGTAAATTGGTCATTCTAATCGTCATAATTAACCATTTGACAATGGCGTACCTTATGACGTCACAGATGAAAAGTTGTATTTATTCTTCGAAATTACCGGCCGACCCAACTTTGCTTCAATAGCCGTTTCTATTTTCTGGTTAACATTTTTCGTCTGCCAAGCTCCATAATGCTTTACTACTCAGCTACAAGCTGCGCTAGAAGAACAAATGACATTGTAGGATTGTTGCGGAGACATTTTACAGCCTCAAATTGGCGTATCACTATAAAATCTTTAAAAAAATGACCGGAAATGGTTATACGCTGTGTTTGTGGTCAAATTTAACGCTTTAGATAGTTTTTTATTCCAAATTGCGTTATATATTTAGATAGCATATATCTTAAAGTTCAAAATTCACCCTTCGGTTTCATTCTAGCCCTTATAACAGCGGACTTATTCGATTCGGTACAACAACACGACGAAAATTTCCCATAAGACTCCATTGTTTTGCGTTTCCCAAATATGGCACAAGATGGCGTCCATGAACTTAACATTAGACAACTTAGTTGCCGGCCGTTGGGCCAGACTGGATTCCATGGCAGGTGCACGCCTGAGGTCGCTAGCGCTCCGCAGAAATGCACGCGAACGAATTCAATTTTACACGCCCAAAATTTGCAATTGCTCACCAATGTAAATCGGTTTAAATGGTTTTTAAATCAATAATCAAGTAATATAAAGATGACAAAAAATTGTAACTCCACAATTGTCGACTAATACTAGCTTGCAAGATTTGGCCTGATCGAAAAATGTGAAGCAAAAAAGACCATATCGTCTTTATTGATAGGAATCCCGTGAGAATAGTTATGGGCGAAAAGATCGCCCCCTCACCGACGCTGTCCAGTTACGGCTCTGATTCAGCATATTTTTTATACAATAATTTTACACGGATGTACTGAACAGTACCGGTATCTGAAGTCGCAAAAAACACTCAAAATTAGTGACAAAGTATAAAATAATGTTTTGGGTAAAAGATCAAACATTCATTTTTGCCCTGATTTGACGTATTTTTTATTCATCAATTCTACGTAAAAACACTACCAAAATTATGACAAAGTATGTCCATTTTGCTCTGATTCAACATATTTTTTATCCAATGATTTACGCGGATGTACTGAACAGTGCCAGTATCCAGAGTCGCACAAACACTCTCAAAATTAGCGAAAAACTTTAGAAATAATGTTTGGGGATCAAACGTCCATTTTTGCTAGGATTCAACGCATTTTTCATTCAATATCGGTAATTTTACACGGATGCATTGAGAGGTATCTAATGTCGAAGTCAGTTTCACGCGGGCGCAGTTGTTTTGCACGCCGTGAGTCATATTTCAATAATTGCATGCCAGGAATTCTTATTTGCACGCGAGAATTTCTGATTGCACGCCCGATTTCTCGTTCAAAAAGGTCATGAAATCCAGACTGGACTGTAGGGGGACCGGTAACTGGTTGTTTGATCGGAATAACCAGTTATCTGCACATACAGACATACCGGTACCAACCATACATTAAGAAGGCTTCAATTTTGAAATTGATGGGAGCGCTTAGTTTTGCAATTACGAATTAACATTGGTACCGGTACCAATCTGCCAATGTCAGAACGCTGGAATGCACAAACGATCTGAACGATAGGAAAACTTCACATTCTGAAATTTATCTAAAATTTTACCGAGTTCAATTCCTGGATTTCGTGATGACATTATGTTCTCCGTTCAGCAGCTACCGGACTTAACACAACTAAATAAACATGTTATTACGGTGAGAACACGCACTGTCAGACTGTACAGCCGACGTTACAACAGCACATTTAGCAAAACAAAAATGCATGAACCTTTCCTCGATCTTTGACCTTCATTGTTTTGATTTTGGTCGCTCAGACAATCATTGCGAATATTCAGACTTGTGTAGGGCGATAGACTGGTACCGTACGTTGCTCGTTTTAAAGGCCTTTGAATGGCATTTCACTGGCGATGGCGGTATTTTCGTGCTTCTAAAGTTATATCACATTGTCAAGTGATCTATTATTAACGTTATTCCGCCTTCACATTGCCGTTACCGTACCTAACTTAGTTTGAAAAGCTAATTTAACAGACAAAAATGGAATCACTCAGAGATGCTTTTTCTATGACTTGGTTCTCCAAGAACTTTTCTTTCCACCAGTTGTAGAAGAATGAATAACTTTTCATATATATGGTTGAAAAATGTCAGAGGACTGGGAGACCTGCGTGACTACCGGTACCGTATCCCATGGTTCATAGACTAATAGATAGCGACCAAGTTAGGACTGAATTGGTGGGTTCAGTATAGAAACAAATGGAATGCAGGGGCAGTTTAAAAAGTCTTTTGAATACATTCTTGGAAACATTGCACAAACTACAGCAATCTGTAATTATGAACAGATGAATATTTTTTCAGATACATTCATGATGGTTCAGTCGTCAATCTTGGTTCAACGCTAGATTTCAAAGCCAAGTGCTAGTGCTTAAACTGTGATAATGATGTAACAATAGATGGTATCTAAAACTGGAAAGGTAGGCTACCACATGAAGGGTTAAACTATTTCACTCAAGTTCGGCGGGCCATTTTAAATCGTCACGCGGGCCGTAGTTGGCCCGCAGACTGTGGTTTAGAACCCCCCAGTGTGGAATCGCACCTCAAAATTAGGGGGGGGGGGGGGTTTGAAATTTTAGGGGGGGTGTTCACCCCCTATAGGGGGGGTGTAGGGAAATCACTGAACCGAACGGATAGCCGATAAATCACACTTTTTCACACAGATTAGAAGTTAAATTTAGAGCAGTGCACGAAGACTGACCATTTGAATATTTTCTGCACCATTAAACCATTTGCGCTAAGCATCAACTTTTCTGCGTTTTGTTGCCATTTGTGTAATTATAATTAAATTATAGGGTCATTAAACGCGCAATTGTGAATTATATACTTGTTAGGTTATAACATAATTTAGCCTACGCGTGTCGCAAAATTAATTCTGTTACGTAAAGAATATAATCGTTAAAACAGCTGTTTTGTTACTTAAGCGCTTAAGCGCGCCCTGAACCCCAGCCGTGTCGTCCCGCACTTTTCCTTGCTCCCCTTTTCTGGCCCTACAATTTCATTCTGCTGTGGATTTTGGCTGGCCGTCAATCAACTTGGGGGGCCCCCATGTACATCGTTTCTTAAATACATACCATTTTTTTTAAGAATACAAATAGCCTAGTTTTATCTCTAATAGCAAATTATTTACCACCCCCTAAATTTTGAAACCCCCCCTCTAAAGAGAAAAGCTGGGGAACATACTGGTTCGGTTTTCAACATTCTAAAAATATGAGGCCCGCCAATGACTTGCAACCTTTGGTTTTGGCCCGCGAGCGACAAAAGGTTGCCGACCCCTGATGTAAAGCCTCGCCTGGAAAATCTGATTAGTAAACGGGTTGATGTGGACGATGATAAATGATTTGACCAATTCTGTAACTTGAAGCAGTTTGTGGAAAGTTACCTACAAGACGAAGAATTTATTAAACTGCCAACGCATAAGAAATGGTGCAAATATTTCGATCAGTCTACGAACATCACATGCCACTCCGAAATTTTAAGGATTGAACAGTTTTTCTTTGCTATTACATCCCACAATGCCAATATTGTAGAGAGAGTCTTTTCACTGATGCAAAGTCAGTGGACTAAAGAGAGAAACAATTTGCGACTATAAAAGGCATGTTGACTCTCCAATATAATTTCAAAGATATGCACTGTAGTGAATTGTTTTCATTTTTGAAATCAGACAAGGAGAGAATGAGGTCTTCAGAAAAATATGCATGGTCAGAAGAGTAAATTTGTAGTGATTGTCTTTAATTCGTTTTAAGCATGTAATTGCTGTTCTTCCGTTTTGGCACAATCTAATTCTCATTCTTATTTTTCACTCTGAAGTTGAGATTTTTTCAGTCGACGGCCCGTAGCTATATTTAGAGTGTGCTTACCTGCCTGGTGTGAGATTCTGCTTGTAACTGAAGACAATACTTTTCATTTCGGTAGCTGGCGCTTTAGCATGAGTATCGTACAACGTTAGCATGAGTATCGTACGGCCTTAGCATTTCGGTAGCGCATATATATGGCCTCATGAAAATAGGGACCTCCTGAAAGAAGTATGTGCACCAAGATGGCGCACAACCTGAACATAGTTTTTGTGTACCGGTTAGGACTAAGGTGGTGCGACATAGTCATGCACTGTCCGGAATTTTGCTTTTTCAAATATGGTAACCCTAAACTAATCCCATACCCGACTTGGAATGGTAACCGGACAAGAGGCCGTGGTTCGCCATATGATAAGCCGTCTTATCGACTTTCCTCTCCCCCGGGATAAATATGTAAATCCTATCCTAAATCCTACCTGTACAGTACCTGTAAGGTGCCTGCAATGGGTACAGCCTTTTAGTATAGATATATAGATTTCGTGAACGTGATTTACAACAAGTAACATACAGTATAACAGCTTTCTAATTCTCGCAGCCCTGTGAAGAAAACAAAAAGCGAAAAAAGGGGACAAAGATCTGCCTAAAACGCCAGCAACCTGTGCGGAACGCGTCTAAAGTTGTCTGAGCGACTTTTCAGCGAAGAATGTTTGTTTACATCTGCTCGCTTGTGATTGGTTGAGAATACGGATGTTTTGATGTCAGGGAAAGGTCCATTCTGCTGCAACGTGCACAATGTTCATCATTTTTACATCCGTCAGTCGGCGCAAGATATTGAGGATATGCATTCATGCGTAACAAATCAAAACACATCCGCTAATTGGCGCAACATGGAAATTCGTTACCTGGCAACCGAGAAGAGCGCATTGGATTATAGGTAGGGCTGAGCATTTTCGAATACCTGATGATTTCAGAATCGAATGGAATATTTTTTTCGAATCGAATCTCGAGTACTTATATTTGTATGTAACTTTCTTATTGTATTGGTTTCCCCAGACACATAAATTACTGGAAACGTATAATACATCACTCAGAAAGATTGCTGAGCATTCACACACGATAAAAAGCACGTTTTCATCAATATCTCACTACGGAAAAGAGTCATATGTCAGAAATTTGTTGAAAAAAAATACCTCGACCATTGGCAGAAAAGAAAAAACAAGATGGCGGCGATTCAAAATTTCGCTCTGAACCGATTCGAATAATATACTATTCGATTCAAATATTCGATTCGAAATGCCCATCCCTAATTGTAGGTGTTAGCAGGCAGTAGGAGTCCACAACAACTTGCTGCTTTTGAGCAGGAACAGTTTGCTAGCAAGCGATGCGCGTGGACCAATATTTTTACCACTAATCCGACTATCAAAGACCATTATGGTTAGGCTTGGCATACGTCCCGCTTTAAGAGGGACAGTCCCGCTTTTCAACGTCTTGTCCCGGCGGGACAAGTCAGCCAACAGTACCGCTTTTGCGTTCGGCCAGCGTAATACACGAACATTACCAATGAGCATGTTCTCTTCTCTGTTGTTGCTATGTATGGCACACTACAGACTGACGGTGTATGCGTGATTTTGTGGGTTTCGTTGTTGTTAGTGGATAATGGACCTTTCCCCGAACTTTGACCCCCGAAAAATTCTTCCTATGGATGCTTCCCCCAAGCATCGACTTCCTTGTTTACTTCGTGACATTGGCCAATCAGCAAGATGCAAAAAGTGACGGTACAACGCATCCGCTCAGACACTTTTCTCACTCAGACAGATTTTCAAGCCTGGTCGTAAACAATGTCTCGTTTTCGTATTTTTAAATTCTATTCGTTAGATTTCAGTTGTGTTTTAGACATTTAAATATAAATCAAGTAATTCACAGATCACTCTGTCTTCCTAGAACAGTGGTTCTTAAACTTTTTGAGCCGCGCCCCCCTTTGAAAAATCGTACAGATTTCGCGCCCCCCCCCCCCCCCCTAAATTGAGGCACAAACATGCATTCAACGAAACAAGATTTTATTCACAAATAACGTCAATGAGAGGGGTGAATCTGTTTTTGCGAAACAAGTAATTTAATTCGAGGAACTGTAGCAGATAACGCACATCTCATATCTGATTCACATTGAAGTTTATTCCGTTGTTTTGTCTTTATATTCACCAGAGTAGAAAACCCGCTTTCACAAAGGTAGGTAGATGAAAACGGAAGCAGAGTGCGTATTGCTACGCTACCTACTCTCTTATATATGCGTACATATTTTGCCCAGAAGTCGGTTAGCGGCATGGCTTCAAAGTCGTCTTTTGCAGATGAATCAAATTTCATATCCAAAAATTCTTCTTGCAAGTTGCTTGGAAGAATGTCTTCATCGACACGAAATGGATCTCTTGTAAGTTTCCATTCTGGAAGTTCTGTGTCATTCAAATCTGGAAAATAGCGTTCAAATTCTTCTTTTAAAAGACGTAGGTGGGACACAATATCGCTCTTGAAATCACCATCAAGCTTGATTTGTTTTTCGTCAAGAGCAGTATCGAGATTGGGGAATGAGGCCGCGTTTCCTTGTTGAGCTCGGCGATACCATAATTCAAGCTTCGCTATGTAAGCACGAATGAAACCGTAGTCAGTTATTCGATTAGTTTCTCTGCCTTGTAATAGTAGATTTAATTTATTCAGAGATTCAAAAATGTCCACAAGGTAGGCCATGACCAGCACAAATTCATCTGATTTGAAATAAAGGAGAAGATCGTATTTTTCCTGAGCTTCCAGAAATAGCGTAAGCTCATTCCTCATCTCATACACACGTGCTAACATGTTTCCTTTCGATAGCCACCGAACATTTGTATGGAAAAGCAGATTCTCGTAATTACAATCCATATCTTTACAGAATTTGGCAAACATTCGTGTATTGACGGCACTAGTTTTAATGTAGTTGACGGTTCGTATTATTATCGCAAGCTTATCTTTCATCGAAGTAGAGAGAGTCTTAGAAGCCAAAGCGTCTCGATGGATGACACAGTGCGATCCAATAACGTCGGAATTTTTTTGTTTTATTCTGGCAATAAATTCACTACGAGATCCTATCATAGCCGGCGCACCGTCAGTGCAGACACCTACAAGTTTATCCCATTTCAATTCATTATTTTCAAAAAATTCAGCAACAAGTTTGAATACATCTTCAGCTTTAGAGGTCGTCTCGAGAGGTTTGCAAAGGAGCATGTCTTCTTCAATTGAACTTGATCCTACAAAACGGACATATACCAACAACTGACACAAGTTGGCAACATCAGTAGTTTCGTCACATTGTATGGCGAAAAATGGCGACAGCTTTATTTTTTCGATAACCTGAAGTTCAATGTCGTGTGCAATCTCATCAATTCTTGTTTTAATTGTAGAATCCGAAAGAGAAATCTTTGCAAGTTTCTTACTGCTCGCCTCTCCCAAAACAAGACTAGCAGCTTTCAAAATACTCGGTTTTATCAATGTCTCCCCTATACTGTGCGGTTTTTTCTGCTTCGCAATCATATGAGCAATTTCAAAAGAAGCTTCTACTACATCTGCAGAAGGCGACTGACAAAATGAATTTATGCTACAAGTCCTCATTTTTTTAAATGAATCCTTTTTGCTTTGAAAAAAAGCTAAAGGTTTTCCTGATGTGCAGGGTGCTTTGTTTTAAGATGTCGCTGTAAGCGAGTTGGCCTCATAGCGTCATTGCTGAGATTTTCAAAGCACAAAATGCATTGCGGTACAACCTCGCCCTTCACTGTGGTATATATGAAGCCATACCTAAGATAATCTTCATCATACTTTCTCTTTTTCCCGCTCATTTTGCAATACAACTAAATTTCAACTAAATCTAAACTAAATGCAATAAATGATTACGTAAAAACTCACTCAATTGTTAAACTACTTCATAACATCACTACTGAGCTATATTCAAAAGTCAATCTACTGTTTCTGACAATACACAACGATTGCAGACTTCATGGCTTGCTCAACTTCTCAAATATTCAAAGCCAATCTACCTGATGAGATTACAAACAATACAGTTTACAAAATGGAAAAGTGCAATTAAATATATGTACGTTTTCAGCCCAAAGAAAAGATATACATCAAATGGTCAAAACTGTCAATTTTATCCAAAACTAATACCGTGTGCCGCTTACAGATACTTATGGCATAAGTTAGGTCATCACAGAGTTTGCGGTATCAAGTTTTATTACTTATTGCAACTAATCTACAGCTCATCGAAAAATATGATGAAAATTAAGGTATTCGATATACAGCTATTTTTGGAGGCACAACTGAAAGCTGTCAAATAGGCTAATACACAAAACCACGAAAACGACAAAACGTTAACAGCCATGCTCGAACATCTGTCTGACCGACTTCTATTGGACCGTCATTGTTGACTTAATGCTGATTGGTCATTGTTACGACACTAAGCAAGGAAATCAATGCTCGCAGAACCGTTAACACAGTAATCAATTTCAACGCATATTCACGCATGCTTATCCTATTTTGCCACGCGTAGTCTGGTAGTGAGTAGTGAAAGAAAAGGGTCATTTTGCATCATTTTACGACACAAAATTATAAAGCAACAAGACGACGAGTTAAATGAAATTTCAAAATATTAAATTGGCTAAGCAAAATAAAGTCTCAAGTGTGGTTTCTTGAAATCTTTCGCGCCCCCCTAGGGGGGGCGCGCCCCCCAGTTTAAGAACCACTGTCCTAGAAGTTTCAGTTTAATTGCAGTAATCATAAATTAGGGTAGAAATAGCTGTGATAGACTAGGCTAAAACTCTACCTGTACTTTTAAAAAATAGATTGTTCTATGCAATGAATCAGAATGATGGTTTGAAACAAATGCCCCATTTTACAGGCGCCAAATTGCAAAACTCTTCTTAAAGTAAGCATCGAAAATTTTACAATGGTCAAGCATAGGAAGAATTTCTTGGGGGTCAAAGGTCGGGAAGAGGGCCATACTTTTCCCCCTACAAAATTTTCGGGGTTTATTTTAAGAGTGGTTTTGCGAGTTGGCGCCTGAAAAATGGGATATGTGTTTCAAACCATCATTATGATTCATTGCATACACCAATCTATTTTTCAAAAGTACCGGTAAAGAATTTTAGCCCAGTCTATCACAGCTATTTCTACACTAATTTTTTATTACTGCAATTAAATTAATACTCCTAAGAAGACAGATTGATCATTGCTTTATCTGATTCATATTTAAATTTCCGAAACACAACTGAAAACTAACGAATATAGTTCAAAAAAGGGAAAACGTGTTTTTTTATATTGTTAACGTCAATTTCTTTCCATTTATCGAGCTGAAACGGATCTTTAGACCGAAAATATTCACATGAACTCTCGAAAAAAAAGGTCAATGAAGACAGGATTGCTTCAAATGTGGGCCTATGTAGTAAAATCGAGAAACGTAAGGTGAACAAATCTCAGCTAAGGGTTCCTGGTCTTTTGGGGCGTCGCGCTTTGAAGTCGAAAAAATATGTAAATTGTAAGAGCCGCATGCATTTCTATTTTATCATTTCATTGATAGATAGATAGAAGTTTATTCATCATCCAGTCATTAGCCAATAAATCAAACACAAACAACAACATACGATAGGTAAAAGAAGAATAAATCGACTAACAACGGAATTGATAGGAGGTTGGAAGGACCATACGGTCACTAAATCGAAACAACTCTCCTGGCATAAAAAAGGTTGACAGATTACATTTTATATTATACCAATTATAAAACATTTTAACTTGTTGTAACTAACAATTGAGCAACAAGAGTAATGTGACACATATTGAGACGAATTTAAAATAGAAGCGGCAAGAAAAAGCGTTTAGTTTTATATCACACAAAATAAAAACGTACAAGTAGAAAAGTTATGAATCAGTACTTATTCAGAAAAGACTGGAAATACTTCTTGGAAAAAACATTAAAACTGGGAATTTCCTTTAGGTTTTCGTTAATATCGTCCAAATTCTCACACCCTGGTACTTTATGGAATTTTGGGCCCGCGAGGATGAAAATCGTGGTACAAATAATCCTCCCTTTCGAGATGAACGAGTACCATATGTATGTGCATTTTTTGTTGTAACAAAATATTGTTGTATTACGCGAGGGGCAGTGCTATTTACCGCTTGATACATGAGCCTTCCCATTTCATAAAAATATAGATCTTTTATTTTAAGAATAACCAAGGATTTTGTAATAACTACTCAAATTTGCCCAGCGTGGCACCCCGCAGATGGCTCGAATTGCTTTATTTTGGATTAGCTGTAATTTGTTAGACTGGTTTTGTCACAACAACCCCAAGTTACGATACCATACAGAATACAAGAATGAAATAATGAATAGTAAATGATTTTTAAAGCATGCAATGTCAAATAGTGTCTAAGTTTGAACATAATCCCAGTCACTCTTGATAACTTGCTATATAGATATTCAGTATGAGCATGCCATTTAAATTTGTTGTCAATAATTATCCCAAGATATTTCATGCATGACACTTCAATTAACATTTTATCACCAAAAGATACATGGAAAGCTTTACTTATATTTTTTTGGTGAGAAAGCATATAGGTCGATTTAGAATAATTTACAGTCAATTTATTTGCTCTCATCCAGGATTCCAGGCATCCACTTTGCTTATTTCATTATTTATGAGAATTTGAAGAATATGAGGGCAGTGGTGGCTTTTAGCAATACATGTGTCATCAGCAAACATTCTGGTGTCACTATTGGTAGCATTATTTAAATCATTAACATAGATTATAAAAAGTAAAGGCCCCAAAATTGAGCCCTGTGGAACTCCGCAAGATATTGGGAGATATTGTGAAGTTGTGGAATCTAATTTGACATATTGACTTCGCTGCCACAGGTAGCTAGTCAGTAATTTACCAGCAACACCACGAATACCATACATGGACAGTTTGGTTAGCAAAATAGAATGATTTACAGTATCGGAAAGCTTTCGATAAGTCAAGAAAAACATTACAATTAATTTTATTGTTCTCTAAGTCATCCATAGCAGATGTCATGATATCAAGCACGGCATGGGTGGTACTACAGCCCTCACGGAAACCAAATTGATAGTCACTTATAACATTGTGCTTGTCAAAAAATAGTTTTAAGCGTGTGTAAATCAAACGTTCAAAAATTTTGGAAATGGAGGAGAGTACAGAAATGGGACGATAATTTGACAAAACTTTACGATCTCCAGCTTTGTGGAGTGGTGTTACTCTGGCAATTTTAAAAATTGATGGAAAAATCCCATTTTTTATACACAAAGAAAACAGACTTGCTAAGTAGGGAGATATAATATCAGCTGTAAACTTAATGAATTTTGGTGGAATATTATCAGACCCATTAGCCTTGTTTATATTAATTTTGGTTAGTTCAGCTAATAGTTCATTTTCACTCACTGGTTCCAGATAAACGGTACTTTTGACCTGCCTTTGCACATAGTGTTTGAAAACATCAGAATTCGGAAGCTTGGATGAAAGAGAATTTCCAATAGACACAAAATAGTTGTTGAAACAATTGGTTATTTCCAATGGATTTTTAACAATGGAACCATTTCCATTTAGAATTTCTTCAGGGAAAGATAAATTCCTTTGGGCGAGAATTAAGGACTTTATTGTCTTCCAAGTTTCCTTTGAATTAGATTTGCTTTCTTTAAATTTGTTTGTATAATATACTCGCTTTGCTTCTTCAATAGAACGCTGAACAGTTTTGGCATATTTCTTATAGTGAGCTTTTTGGTCAATGAACCAGAGATGAAGTGAGACTTGTACAAAGAATTCCTGTGATTGATTGATTTGAGTAGATTATGACTGAGCCATGGTTTTGACAGCAGTGTCATCTGCTTACGACTCAACTTGCGAATTGGTGCATGTTTGTCAATTAAGCGTTTGAACGTATCTATAAATTCTGCACTAAGTTGTTCAAGCTGTGATGGAGTTGAATTTTCATCTGGCAGTATGGAAAAGTTGTCGAAGACTTCACTTCTGAAGTTATCCAAATTAAAATTTTTCATACAATGTTTTCTAGGTCTTTTTGAATTTTTATCAAGAGTGTTCATTTTGCTCAGACAAAAATACAGGGAAATGGTCGGAAATATCGCTCAATAATATTCCTGGTACAAGATGGGCATTAAGACAATTTGTGTAAATATGATCAATTAGGGTCGATGAAGTGTCTGTCACTCTAGTTGGTTGGCAAATTAATTGAAACGAGAAATTTGATTGAAGCATGTTCACATAATCAAGAATATTCTTGCTATTTGACTGCAGCAAATTGATATTCATATCTCCCAAAATATAATAATGACAGTTTTTTCGATTTAGCGACACAAACATTTCATCCATGAATTCCAAGAACTTCACGTTATCTTGTCTAGGATGCCTGTACACTGACCCTAGTATTACAGATTTGTTTGATTGTTTTTGTTCCAATTCCAGCCAAATACTTTCATAATCCAAGCTTTCTTGACCTGGGAAGTTCAAAATATTATATTTCTTATTTTCAAGGATATAGAATCCCACACCACCAGCATTGGTCCTGGAATTAATATTCACAAAATTGT